GAGGGAAGGAAACAGGGTAAGGAGAGACGGGAGATGGGGAAAGAAACTGGATAACAAAACCTTCTGACAGAACTGGAAGAACCCATTGATTGCCGACGATGGAATGCCAGCGATGAAGAAACTCAAACAGTCAAGCTCCCACCGGACCTGAACCCACTGGGTTGTCACCTGTTCTGGTGGTGACTGTGTGTGTGTCGTCGAGGAAAGTGGCAAAAAGAAGTACCCGGAGTGGGCTGGAAAGGGAAAGAAATGGGAAACACTCATTGGAAGCATATGAAGCTCTGTCTGAAATAAACTAGCTACAATATTAGTAAGGGTGGATTGTTGTTGGACCGATGTAACCTGAAGCTCTAGTGTTTTCCGGGACCAAACCAAAAACGTAACACCTCAGAAATGGGGCCTTACATAAATCCTAAGATATGTATGGGATTACGACCCATAATTTCCCAACAATAAAGAAACCATGTATGCAACACCATAGCCAAAGATGACACTTTGGCTAAAGTGGAGGAGAGAAAGGCAAGGGTATCGCCAGAAAACCCTTCAAGATTTCTGTGGAGAGCCTTAGAAAGGAAGTGTATGGAAGAAAGATACTGTAAAAGATTTGTAAGGGTAAGACGCAAACAAGAATATTGGGCATGGGTAAAACTGACAGATGATTTGGGAGCTGCCACCCAAATAGGCAATAAGGAGCCTAACATTTGCTGGTTTAAAAATGGATAGTCAGCATGATGATAGGAAAGTGCAAGCTGATCTGAAGTCTGTGGGGTCGCAATATGGTAATCCCCTCGCTTAATTTTGAGGCAAAGTGAACCCAAATATCAGGGGAGAGAGGAAAAACCAAAAAGGGTTGGGAAAATTGTTCATGCAATATAGAAGGACGAGGTGCATAAGAAATAGGAGAAATGGATAAAATGTGACAAACCTGACACACAAAATCCATAAAGACCAGTAGACTCCTCGGGTTGGAAATGGGAAGGAACAGCAAAATCTGGAGACGGAAAAATATGATTAAAGTCCTCATTAGCTTGCAAAGGATCAGCCTGTTCTGCAGGAGCCTGGATGATGTTAGGGATAAATGTTGTCCCAAGTAACATTCAATCTCCTGGTGTATAAAAGCAGATAAATCCACCATCAGGTCACCCGCACCTGAGGCCCGAGAAAAAATGCTGGTCACTGATGTAACTCCCAAAGTGGTAACATTAACTTCAAAATACAATGCACAAAAAATTTCACCAAATTCGACTGCAGAAAATAAGATGACTAGAATTAACTAATAAATACTAATAGAAGAAACAGGCTAAATAAAAGCAAATTAATTTAAGAAATAACCACTTCGTGAGGAAACAAAGTCATATGTGAAGCATTAAACAAACAAAAGAGCATGTCTGAACACAAGCACTGCCAAATGAGAAGCGATAGTTCAGTAAAGGAGTGTACAGGTAGTCACATGCATCACGTTAGCATGTCATGCTCCTGATGATTGCACTCGTTTAGTCTTTGTAAATCTAATACTTATAACTCTCAATATATCTTCATGACATTTAGCAGTGTTTCAGTTAATATTAGAAGTTTTTCACATACAAAAACTCATATTTCTTAGTGAAGTATTTTAATAAAATAAAATAAAGATTTGTCCATTTGTTTTGAATAGTCTGTGTGCAAAGTAGTTTTCATGTAAAAATTAAAAATACTTTTCCTCATCTCAAGAATCTCAAATTTCCTTTGTGTAATCCCCAAAACCTCCTAAATGCATTTCAAACGTTTTTTTTTTCAGTGAAACCTTATGGTTTATGTTATTTTTCACTACCCTATCTCAAAATGGGATCAGTCAATTCGACCGACCTCGTATCCACCAAAAAAAATCTAAATAAACTTAAATTAACCTTTTTTTTCTAGAATGACTTCAAATTATAACATGAAACTACATTTGTTTATCCTAAGTAGCTCAAAGTCCATAACAGTATACATCTATTTATTATTAAATTTTATTGTTTTATTCCCCTTTGAACCATGTCTAACTACTATCCATGCCATAAATTGTAAATTACTCAAAGAACGTGCAGCTCACGTTACACTATTAATTACATTACCCATGAGCTGCTCGCGTATGTGCCTCAGGAACCATTTTACTTTTATTATTAACATAAATAACTTTACCTAATCTAGTCTTAAATAACTAATAATATCCATACTTTTAATTTTAGTCACTTTTATAATAATAAATATGAAAAACAAAAAATAAAGTATTTACCCAATCTTCTTTTTTTTTGTGCCCTTGATTGTCAATGAGAGTTAAGCCTGATTTTTTATAGTAATTATAGTAAAGCACTTAATTTTTATTTAATTAAATAATGCACCAAAGAATATAGACTAATAACATTGCAAAAAAGTAGACAACTTCAGTTACCTCTCAAATTTTTCCTGGCTTTCTAACTATGCGACAAGAACAGTTACAAATTCATCCAAGCTAGTCGTTAACTTTCCCACTGGAACGAATCTTCTACTGTGAGTGAAATCAACGATATGCTGTTCAGAACACAACGATATGCAATACGTCATTTGATAGATGAAAACCTTAACTTTCTATTCGTTATAGGTAATGTATATAATGAAACATAAGAGAGAACTATCAACGAATTGTGGCAGGAAGGGTCTAATTTTCTATTTGATAGCTCTGTAACCAAACAAAATTTAAGGCTATAAAAATTATGGTTTCTTTGAGCAATAACGATTTTATAGAGTATTTTATGTTTAATTTCGTACATTTTTGAGAGGTGATGAATAAAATAGGGATGATGACATGGTAAGACGAAAAGTGTCACATGGGTCACACTAGTAAAAATTAAGGATTTTTTTATATATTTCCTGTTAGAATTAAGAACTTAAAACTTGTATATTATCAAAATATGGATTATTAGCTAAGATTTTATGCTATTCTAATTGGTATAACATAAAGAAAAAGTAGTTTAATAAAATTTTGAATGAAAAACACTTAAATCTTGTGTCATGCGCAGTAAAGGGTACCCGGGGAGAGAGTGTTAACTCAGGTTATAATCCAGCAATTTCAAAGCTTATATATTTATTTTCTTTAGTTATGTCATTAATATGAAAATAGTTAATAACAAACACTTCAAATTTTTCAAATAGAAAATAAATAGTTTATTATAATTATATCAAATTTAGAAAGAAAATTATAGCATTGGTAAACTGAGTGCCTGTTTCCAAAATTTTATTAAAATTTTGTTATTTATACTGTCATACCACTTGCGTTTTCACTTATTTTAAACACAACCAATACAAAAACTCTCTTCTAAACAATAAAAATTGATTTTGCAACAAGTGTTTGTTATTAGAGCTATAATTGTCCTAAACAATATTAACATAAATGAAAACAAATCTCTAAAGTCCATACATATTGTTAATGTATCTGGGAAAGGCCAAGGCACAATAATTTACCATGGCAGCTTTTACATAATGTTGATACTGTTGTATTGGCTGAGAAATAATCAGTTACTGGCTGAGACCTTAACTGGATTGCTGCAGACTCCAGCTGTTGATTTCAGAAAACCCCAATTAATTGATGGTAATTAATAGACCATAAAATAAAAACCCTGTTAAAGTAAGAATATCAGACTGTTTTTATTAATTTATGAAAAAAATTGATGGGGGGGGGGGAATAGTTGTATTTTTCGTTAATCTATTATTTTATAAGATATGTAATTGCTGTTCATAGGTAATCAATTAGTTCATTAAATCACCTTCAGATTATTGTTTTCAAAATAAAAGAGCATTTTATATCAAAAAAAGCTTAATGACCATTTTTTATTCTGAAGTGAATCAACAATAGCTAGACCTCAAAAGAATTTGGATTTTCAGTTCTGGAGGAAGCCATGAGGCAAATGGAAACTGGGTGTTTCAAAATTCTACAAATATCATTAGCAGATTATGGAATCACTTCCAAACAAATGGTACAATTTTCAGACATCCAGTAAAAGTAAGCAATCATCTCCAACATCAGCAGATAACAGCTGTCAATTCTCACTTGCTTCAATCATAGAGTACTTGAATTTGATGTACAAGAAAAGCTTCTATGCATTACAGTTGTCTGCAAGGATGCCAAAGAACACATTCATAGGACCAATAACATGGAACAGTATGCCCCTTACATAAGAGTCACTTCACTGTGCAGCCAAATAACAGGTAATATTATGTCATTTGAAAATTATGTCTTATCAGAACCAATCTCATTTTTATACAGGAACTAGATATGAGCAGGAATAAACACAATAGTGCCATAAATGTTTCACATTCTACAACTTTTTATGCTAGTGAAACTGATTATTACTTTAGCTTAATGGATGATAATTTCCATTTTTCAAGTGCTAAACTGATGACTGGCTGAATTGACTATTGGGATGGTTGTGAAAGAAGTGTCACATCCAATCCAGTGACCTCAATTATTAAAGTTGTCCTAAAAACAGTTCTTTCAAAAAAGAAGTCAAAGGTACCTCAAAACCTGATTTTATTGTCCTCATGGTTTCACAACTATAAACATGTAAAGTCACCTCTATCAAATCATACAGCCAAGCATTTCCATTCAAATAATGTGAATTACTGTCAGATGCCAATCTGCACAAAAATGAATGTTTGGGGTATTGACAATATTTAGAAATAGATGCTTTGCCTTGTCATAGCTGCAATAAAGATTCCAGTTATTATTTTGTTGAGTTTACTAGTAAACATTTATTCCCTTAATACTAAGTATCTGAAAACTTAAAAAACAGTAGTCTTAATTTATAAAATAGTATAAGCAAAAAAACAAATTTTTCTTCATTTTTTAGGGAAGGGTAGAAAACTAGAAGTTTGAAAATAATTTCGTTCCATCCTGGCTGGAACAAGCTTCTTATTAACATATACATATTATTTTGGATAATATACACTTTTTAATGGCAATAATATTTGACTACCCTCGTATTAACACTCAGTCATACACTTGCCTGAGAAACCTTTATCTGGATTTTTCTTCTTTTTTTTCCGTTCCCACTTTTCTGCATCATCTGCTCCAACCTCAAGTAGTTTTACTTGGTCATAATCCTCTCCTCTTGACACAGCTTCCTGTAAAAATGACAGGCCTGTTTATTGCACATAAGACAAAAAAATGATGAACTAAGAATCTGTAAAGAACACAATATTCTATATTTTAATTGTTAAGTTCTTAACTCTTTCCCAATCAATTTATTTCACATTTGTTAAAAGAAGAAATAATAAAATTAAACATGTCATTTGAAGTGAGTGAGACCCAGTGCTATCTAAAAAGTTGGATTTTATTCCAGATATTATCAAAAATTTGGGAGAAACTAACAGTAAAAAGTTTAATGAAATTTGATAGAGAAACTCATGGGCCCTCCCCCTCCCAAAATTGAGTTCAAACAGGTTAGCAAGTAGATGAACATTGGAATTTGGCAACCATTTCAATTTGATCACCTAATCCCATGAAAGAGGGCTCAAAAACATGAAGCTGGTATCAAGTAAAAGTAATAATTAATGCTACAAGTAACAGAAGTAACTTTGTATTAACCAAACAGTTCATACACTAAGGCTGAAAAAGGTGATCCTATCTGCAGTATTACTTTTTAAGTTTGAGATAATACAGTTTTCAAAATATATTAAAAATAGCATAATGACTTGTCTTTTTAACTCCTCTTCAAGTTTAACTTCAGCCCACTTTATTTTGTTTTCCCAATTTAGTGGAAGCTTGTTGCGTTGATCTTCTTCAATAACCTCTTGGTGATTCAATTTACGTGCTTCATTCTGAAATTCAAAACAATTAGTACAGTCAATAACAATTAGAAAAAATTTTAAATTTAATAATTACATACCCTTAAAATTTGACTATAATACAGAAAAGGGCAGTTAGTTTCCATTTCTTAGCAAATCTTGACTTACATACTGATCTTAACATGTATTTTAAAAATAATAAAGAATATGGTTTCTCTTTTCATTGATTATTTTGTGTGCATATCTCTTCTTCTTAACCCTTTTGACACAGGTCAATAGCCATGACATTGTGTTTATTCACTTGCATTCAAAATGTTATTGAACTACTATTTTAGGAATTTATGTCATTAAGTTTGGTATGAAACTGCAGACTAAAATTCAAGTTTTAATATTATATATTATTTAATTTCTTAATTTAAAAGTAAATATTAAAAAACACAGATAAACGTTGATTTTTGTGTGTCACTGGTTCAAATTAGATGTTTGTGAAGTCAAAATACTAAGTCTATAGTTTTGTACAAATTACAAACTCAAATTACTGATATTGACAAGCTAGAATATAAAATAATAAGGTCTTATTTTTTTTATTTGCTAAGATATTGATCATGTAATAAATTAAACACAGTGGCACCCTGCCCACCTTTTTCCATTTTTGGAAACACTCCCTTATACATACTTACTTCTATATATGGCATGAATAACCAAGCAGAAGCTCAGTATGTCCCCCTAGTGGGTTTATCAGCCATTTTAAATTCTTAGGACACCATTTCTTTCTTTTGGACCAAGA